TGTCACATTATGACACCCTAATCAGTATAGGAAACTTTTATTAAAACATGTAAATTATAAAATGATTTATCATTATGCATAAATAAAATAGATTTTTAGACTCGTATATAAAAAAAACAATTACATGCCCCCTAATCACATGTACCATACTCTGATAACAACACCTGAAGAATTCCCTTACCGAAGTCGATAACTGCACGGGTACAATTCTTTTAACCTGCAATAGTGAGTAATAGAGTGAGCTTCAGAAAGCTTGCTGAAGAATGTGCAGATACAGATAAACATATATTTTCTTATCGGATAAGACATCTACAAATCTTTATGTTGAGTAGAGATCCTACTGATATTTCATGTAGTAAACTATAGTGCTTTCAGTTCAGATGGAAATATTTCGGATGTCTAGGTTCAAGAGATCATAATAGGTTATCTAGTGTGTTTCCGTAAAACCAGTAAAAATACAATTTTTTTAAAACACATATATATATGCCCCCATCCGTCACGAACAAAATGTGTAGGTTCCCAGAACCATACAACCCCGTCACGTATAGTAAGGCCCTGAGCACAAAGCCGAGGAACCTGCAAGTATTCTTCCTTCAATAATAAACCCAATAAAACATGTTCCGTCCGTAAACGGATATATCAAAAATCAAAACATAATTCAGGTCAAGTATCAGATCATAATCCATGTCATGTATCAGATCAGAATCCATGTCAGTATCAGATCAGAATTCAGGTCATGTATAATAACATAACTCAAATCGAAAATCAGATAAAATATTCATATGATTAGGGAACACACCAGAGTTTACGAATATTATTTAGAGGTACTGGATAATCTTATTTGGCAGAGAAACACATATATTCAGTACGTCGATAGAATGTTAAAATTTAGAATCACTATTGGAAGAGATCAATAACTGATGGAATCATCAGTTATTCAGAATGAGACTTGAGCTGATAAGGAAGAAATGAAGGTTCATGACATTTACAGTTTGTGTCGATCTATCGGATTATCGAAATAACCCAAGCTGAACAACTTCTAGAACTAATACATGTTGACGATCTATTCGTTGTCCTTCCAGGTACTCACTCTTTAATACCAACAATTATTGTTCATAAATCATCTTTGAGTCATCGCTGAATGAATCTTCCAATGGCCTTTATTTCATTTCCTCACTTCAACAATATCGGGAAATGCTGGCGTACTTGATTTTTGGTTCATAACCCACAATAATGGTACACTATGTAAACTCATCAGAGTTTTCAGACATATCCAAATCACTTACTTAATACTCAGTCATTGAGGTTACTTAGTTCATTTAATAGTCAAGTCCAATCCAGTTACTTCGGAGTTTTCCAGAGTAATTCGTACGTTTCTGAATTTCGGATACATATTGTACTCCCGTTCAATTCAAATTGGTCTTCGTGGTTGATTTGTCTAATGAATATCCATTTCTTAGTACCGAATGCTATCTAGTGTTGAGCTGAGCTGAGTATTTCCAAACTTATCATCGATCCAAACTTAAGGGGACGAACAAACATTCAAGTGGTACTTATATCATTCAGGAAATGATATAGCATTAGCGTTGGTTGACAAACTTAAGCTGCGTTCCATAACTTTTAAGAGCAGTACAACATCCATGTTTATTTGGATTTCTTAATTAATCCAAGACATTTATTTATTCTAGGCCATAAGGGTATTTTGGTCATTTTGATGCTCAGTTTGATTTCATTCATTTCAGAGCTCGAGGATATCCAATCATTCCTGAGCTTGGTGATATTCTTGATCATTTTCATTCTAAGGATATTCTGGTCATTTTACAGATCAAGTATATTCCAATAATTCATTTCGTTCGATCTTATTATTAAATTCAAACTTATCATTCATGTAAGTCGAGTATAGGAGCAACTGAGGTGCGAACTTTTTAATTATAAAATAAATACTAAATTTGTGGAAGCGTACCTGAATCTAATGTTGGATATTACCTAGAAGGTTGAGATTTTGAAGATTATTTTATAATTGCTATCTTTCAAGAAGATAAAATTTCCTAGAGTATGAACTCTCTGACGGGATAAGAGAAAATACAAGATGATTTATTTTTTAGGGGCCATAACCCCTTTATATATATGATTTAAGAATAAATTATTGTATGTAATTATAACTCTGCCCCTCATCAAATTATAAATACAACTTTAATAATATATACATTTTTATTTTCATAATACTTCTAATACTCTATGATTTTATAACATAATTGGTCACTTAATTTATTTCATATTTTAGGACAACAATATACATTATAAATATGTGTCCATAATTATAGATTTTAATCTAACACGAATCATGGGAAAGCGTATGTAATTAATATATGTATTGTCGGATTTTCGTATTCATATATGAATCATTGTTCACCAGCACGGTTGTAAAATTGTGATGACATTAGCATTTAGTATGTTTGTTGTTGAACAATGTTATAGATTTTTCCTGGTTGTGTAAGCCCCTGGTTGATACACTGTTAAATCTATCCAAAATAGGCCAAAGTTCACGATCATGATTTTAGTCTTTAATATATATATATATCATGTTCATGTGATACTATTGAGTCCAAGTTTAAGTGAAAGAAAGTCCAAGTTTAAGTGAAAAAAAATTTTGAGTAACATCAAGTACGAACACATAATTTTATATTGAGAGATGAGTTTGTAAAATTTTAAGGGGAGACAATTTTATAAAATTTTAGAGTGTAAAAATATATTTTAATAAAAAAATGTCAAAAAAATCTAAAAGCATATAAAATAATTTATAAATTTGTAAGGAGATAATCATTCTTACCCGCGGCTCATTCCATCCCTAGTAACATAATTATAAACAAGAACAGAACTCAAACACTACATTAGAGATAACATAAAACTCTTCTCTCGATTTGGTATTTGAAAATATTTATTCTTAATAAGATACTTTTATTATTATTATGTCAACTAATTTGATACTTACTATTGACTTCGTTAAATTATTGATACCTGACATTATGAGGTTATAACACGTGATAATATTCATGTTATTATGATACTATCATTATTAAAAAATTACTATAAATACAAAAAGAATATATAAAAGTATTTATATATTTAAAGTTCTTTTTTTAACTTACATCGACGAATTGTTGATTAATGTTGATTTTATTTATACTTTTTAAAATTTCTTATTTTATAGAGTTTTATAATTTTATAATTTTATTTTTAATATTTTTAAATACGTGTTTTTATTTATTTAAAATTATCAATTAAAAGTTTAAAATTTTAAAAGCATCTAGTCTTTTACATTTTGTATTTTTTAAAAAATTTCTTATATATGTTTGAATTATATATATTCCAAGTATTTATATTTTCTGTTAGTGCAGTTTTATTTAGTTAATTAATTTATATTATGGAAAATTCAAAAAATAAATATATTTTCAAATTTCTTATATCTTTAAAATTATATATATTTAACAAATTTATAATTTTAAGATATATATATTTTTTATTTGTTTCTTTTAGAAGATAAATTAGACGTTTTAAAATTATAAATTTTTTCTTAGGGTATATAAATATATTTTTAATTTTGTAATAAATTTTATAATTTTATACAAATTTCCGACAATGATATCCTTGCCAGGTGGCGCCATGTCTACTTGTTAAATGCTCATGACTTAATGACGGTAGTGAGAAATACTAAATTAGTGGCTGATTTGCTATTGTAGGATTCTTGAACAAAATTTGGTTGAATTAAGGTATCACTGTGATTATTTCTCAAGATGATGTGAATGCTATAATAATCAGAGAGTCGCAGGGAACATAGTGTGTCTTTCGGGGAAGACGTCGGGAACACAATGTGTCTTCCTCGTTTTTATGCCGTTGAACAAAACTGAAGACACTATTTTCTCGATTACTTTATGAAGATACACTGTATTTCCGACGTCTTTTAACAGGTATTATAACATTCATACTATACGAAAAAATAATTTCGGTAAAATCTTATTTCAACCAATAACTTTTTTCACAACACTATAAGAGCAATTCAACCTAAATTACTTAATGGAACGGAAATACATGTCTCAAGTTGAGAGTAAAAAAAAGTATCAAGTTGGAAAAACAGTGCATGATACATAAGTCTTTGAACCATAATTCTTTTAATGTAAATAGAAGTGACTTTTTTTTAAAGTTAATATTAAAATTAACATATAATTAAGGTATATGTCTATAATCATTAACCCAATAAATTAGTTATCTGATTGGAAAAACTGTGCATGATACATAAGTCTTTGAGCTATAATTTTTTTAATGTAAATAGAAGTGACTAATTTTAAAAAAATTAATATTAAAATTAACATATAATTAAGATATATATCTATAATCATTAACCCACTAAATTAGTTATCTGATCATATAAAGGAAAGATTAAAAAATACTAAAAAAAATTGAATAAAAGATAGATACAAATAGATCTAATTATATTGACAAACAAATCACAATATTATTATCGTCAATCACAAATCAGAGTCGAGCGTTATGAGAAAGCTATCTCCAAATGCAAGTCAAGTGTCCAAATATATTCCGATAGTCCAAAACAGAAAATATCAACAAGATAATAAATAAATTCATCTTGATAAGTCGATGTGTCGTTAAATCCAACCATGAAAAAATTAAACGATCAAATAATAAAAAATAAATAAATTATCAGAAAATATATCATAAAGATAGAGTTATTAAAAATTTAAAAAAAATAATACTAATAAATAAATTTATTAGTATACTAATTCTATTAGTGTCACAAAATTCTCTTATTTTTTTAATAAATTCAGATAATTATAAAAGAATGTCTTATAATATAATTGTATTTCTGATTTGCAACGAATACTTATATTTATTGGACAATCAAATTGTATTTAATAAATTTCCTTTTGCATTAAAACCCCTCCGAATCTCACACTAATATCTCTTCGCACATCTCCCGCCGTCAAAAAAAAACCTTACTTCTTCCTAAGCCCCTCTTTTGCCTTCCAATTACGAATCGGTAGAATCACAAATAAGGTAATATCTGAAACCCTAAACTTAATTTGAAGAAAAATCCTTTTCTGCTTGAGCCATGAGATTTTCAGTTGTGTTATCACCCTGCTATGTTTGATTGGTTTTCTTCATCTCACTGCTCGTTGTTCTGTCTCATCTCACTGCTCGTTGTTCTGTCTCATCTCATATACTCTCTCTGTTTATTGGTCATCGGTGTGAAATGTGTTTACACCGCTAATGAGGTCTGTTGCGGTGGCGGATGGCGCGCCACCGCTATTTGGAACCCTCACTTTCTGGGATTTAACAGTTTACCTATTTTTTTGCCTTGTTTTACTGTGTGAGTATTTGATTAAGTCGAATTAAATGTTTTGAAATTAATTGAGTTGACGAGTCTTATTCTATAAATCAAATTTTATTTGTTTTTTTTTTCAGAATCTAGTTTATGAAATTTGAATCAATTTATTCCCGTTTTTATTTAAAATTTAATCGTAAATATTTATAAATTTATGATATTTTTTTATTATAATTTGATATACGAATATCATATAGACTAGAATTTAAAAATTAATCCACTAATTATTGAAAATTTGATGTTATTCGAGATTTATTTTATAACTTAACTTAAATTTGAGTTTTTTTCAGTTGAGTCAGTCAAATCTATTCAAGTTTTTTAACGTCGAAAAATTCGTTTTTTTTCTACTCAGTAGAGTGTGAACGGATACTATCTCTCCCTGTATATTTTTTTCCTTTCTTTTCTTTGGTTTCTTCGGTTCAATAAGAATTGTAAGATTTTTGAGACTTAAGTTTTCATATTTATTTATACATTTAATTTTTGCCTTAAACCATACTATATATATATATATATATATATATATATATATATATATATGGATGGATGGATGGATGAATGATATGCAAAATTGCTGATATTGGCCTTAACATAATCTTTCTTCTTTTTGTTTCTGTTGGCATTTGGAATTGATGGTTAGAGCCTAGAGGTTTGTATTTAGTGGCATCAAATATGATATTTCCAAGCAGTTGATTTAGATGATACAGTTTTAGCGAAGCATTTAGCCCAATGATGTGTTTCTGTGTTATGTTGGATCGTGGAGGAGATGTGTAATGAGTTTTATTTATAAAAAAACAACTTTTTATTAGTTGTTATTTGATATCCATGAAATTTCTTTTGACCCTTGTTGTGTGAACTCTTGTTTTGGTTTTTTATCGACCTTCATAGAGTGTAAACTTACAAATTAGTTTACCTACTGTTTATGTCTTTGACTTATTAATGTGATCTTTATTCTTTGTAATCGAGTTACATGAATGAGGGCTAAATGTTGAGAGATAGTTTCGGATAAACTGAAACAACTAGTATAATGTCTACTAGATCATTGGGGAAAGTGCAAAACATTGTGCTTTTGCATTGGAGAAGTTTTGTTTGAGCCTCCAATGTGATCATTTTTAAATGTTCTATTAAGCACCTTTTTTTGGGGGGGGGGGGAAATGTATGAAAAGTTTGTTGTTTGAACTTGATCGCAAGTTTTATGAAAGTGTGTCTTGTTGGAATATGTTATTATGTATGGCGATATGAGGAATATAATTTTCTTTTCTAATCTCAGAATTGTATGATTCTTTTGTTTCCTGGTTGATTAAAACCCACCCTTTTTGTTGCAGAGCTTCTTCCTTTCTGTTTTCATCTTTGATCAATCGTACCCTCTTGATAATGGCAACTAGTAAGTTTCACTTCAGCCTTCAATATGTATATATATCTAATATTCTTTTGATATATTACTAAGATCATGTATATTGATTGGCATTGTATATACTAAGATCACATATATCACGAGTCTCATATTGTAATTTTTGCAGGGATTCAGTTTGAAAATTCATGTGAAGTTGGAGTCTTTTCCAAGCTGACCAACGCTTACTGCTTAGTTGCAATTGGAGGGTCAGAAAACTTCTATAGGTGAGCATGTCTTCTGCAATTTTCTTTTCCTATTCTTGATAATGTATTAAGGTTATATTGGCACCTTGCAGTGCTTTTGAGTCGGAGCTAGCAGATGTCATTCCAGTTGTTAAGACCTCTATTGCTGGCACTAGGATAATAGGACGGCTATGTGCTGGTGAGAAATTTTTGCGACTTTCACAATCTTATCTGTTTGGTGCCTCTGACTTCAATTATCTGAGCTTTGCTTTTGTTCTGACAGGAAATAAGAATGGGCTACTTGTTCCTCACAATACAACAGATCAAGGTAACTTTATGAGCTATTTTGAAGGATGAATGTAATGTCGTTTGACGTTCTTCTATTATTATTTTTTATTATTATTACTAATCTGGATCTGTACTGTGGCATGTAAATCCTAGTGGCTTTTAATCACATACTCTGTCGTTAATTTGAAGTTTAAACTCTGTTGTACGTCACTATTTTTAAAGTTTAACCACGGTTTCCGATATTAATGTTGGATTATTCTTTCTTATTGAAGAACTTCAACACTTGCGAAATAGTCTACCGGATCAAGTTGTTGTTCAGCGGATAGAGGAGAAACTTTCTGCTCTTGGGAACTGTATTGCTTGCAATGATCATGTTGCTTTGACACACACTGATCTAGACAAGGTAAAATTCTATATGCCATTGTAATAATTGATCGATATTTATAATGCTGTTCTTTTAACGGATCAACTATATCCACTTTGAGTTGGCCTTACTCGGGTGAATTTCTATGCATATCTCATCGGTGTGTTATTTTAGTTTTGGAGTAAGATGACAGGAGCATGTCTATTCTTTTGTATCTCAATATATTACAATATGTTTATAATGCTGTTGATCTGCAATTTGAACCAGGAAACTGAGGAGATAATCGCTGATGTTCTTGGTGTAGAAGTTTTCCGGCAGACAATTGCCGGTAATATTCTTGTAGGGAGCTACTGTGCCTTTTCTAACAGAGGTGGCTTGGTAAGATTGAATCTCGCAATGATAATTACCTCTTGTGTGTGTGTGTGTATATATATATATATATATATATATATTGATTTTGGGTTTTGGATGGTTCAGGTTCATCCTCATACATCCATTGAGGATTTGGATGAGCTTTCGACACTGCTTCAGGTTCCATTGGTGGCTGGTACTATCAACCGTGGGAGTGAAGTGATAGCTGCTGGGATGACCGTAAATGATTGGACCGCCTTTTGCGGGTCGGACACAACGGCAACGGAGCTTTCGGTGATCGAGAGTGTCTTCAAGCTGAGAGAAGCTCAGCCTACTGCCATTGTCGAGGAGATGAGGAAGTCATTGATTGATAGCTATGTTTAATCTTTTGTTTTGTTATGTGTCTTTTATCTAAATTGAAGTGCCCCTACATAAAAATGCTATTGCAATGTTTCATGTGATTTTAGAAGCTAAGAAACAGAAGCTTCTTTTTATGATGTGATGTTTAAAATTATGTTGAGAAAACCAAGTGTATTTGATGAACTTATATCTTAGTTTTTAGAGTAAAACTCGTAATTACTCGTAATTAAAAATGTATAAAGATATATTATAGTAACTATCGTTAAACTTCTCTTATATAGAGTGAAAAGGATATTATAGTAATTATTTTGGATCAATGAATTTTTTATCCAAACACGACTTCATTTAATTTTGACACTCTTCCACAAAACTTGTCCTAAATTCAAATTTCAAAAAGTAAATTCACCTTGTAAGATTGGGTTAAAGCCATCTAATTTAAAGTTTTTCTTTTATAGAAGTAGGTGATCAAAACGGAATAAAAATGATCAGAATAAAAATAATAGTTAGGGTATTAAATGTGTAACTTTCTTTTATAGGAGAAGCATAAGTGATCAAAATGGAATAAAAATAATAGTTAGGGTATTAAATGTGTAACTTACCCAATAATTTATTATGTATAGATATAATTTTATTATTTGCAAATCACATTGTGTGAGATTATCATCACGGTATTTTTTTTTCATGTTTGTAATTAATTGATCCGAAAAGGAAATGGTTCCCTAACTAAAACAGTGAATTAAAGTTCATTGAAATGAAATACTAACAATTTGATATTAATTTAAAAAAATTACATTAATTCCATGGATTATTTTATTAATTTTGTCTTAATGAAAAATAAGTGTCCAAAGTATATTCAAATATAATTTTAATATTTTTCGTTAAAAACAAACACCTAACGTTTTTCTATTATACTTTTAGGTGACTAATGTTTTCATCGTTATATTTTAAGTGTTTGGACTGTAATGGTCATTAAAAAAATACTGTTATCTATCACATGTCAAACATATATTGTTGTATTTAAAAAACACTTCAAATTAAATTTTATTAAAAAAACCCAAACCCTATATTTTTCTAAATTTATAAAAAAAAACTCAAAATCCCAAAATATCTTAATTTCAATCTCTTTAGTGTCGTCATCCGCCATCAACACCATTAATAGGTCGAATACTCAACGCTATTTGACTAGCCAACCACCCAACGATTGAAACTTCTTATTTTTCGTGACCGGTCGAACTCCCAACGACTATGTAAAAATAAGATTTCGTGATAAGATGAAAGGGGTTCTTCATGATGCAGTCGTCGGTTGGTCACTGCAATTAGAAGTTGGAGAAAGGGTTTTGATCATTGGGTGTTTGACCGATCTTACATCATTGGAATTTCGGTCAATTGGTGGCGATCGACGGTGATGAATGGATTGAAATTAAATTTTTAATGAAGTTTGTGATTTTTTATAATTTCAGAAAAATGTATTTTTTAAATAATTTTTTAAAGTGTTTTTTAAACAAAATTTTTTAAATTCTCATATATGTCAAATTTAACAACAATTACATTTTAGACAGCTAAAAAAATTTAATGTCTAAAAGTATAACGCAGAAAACATTAAACATCTATTTTTAACAAAAAAAAAATATTTTAAGCACTTAAAATTAATTTTAAATATATACTTTAGACACTTATGTCTATATTAATCCTTAAAATTTTCCAAACAGTATGAGAATGAGGCCCCCCAAAATTCAGATTTGAAAATCGTAGCGCGAAATAATTAATTCAAAAGAAAAAAACATAATTTCCCTTCAAATTTCCATGAACGGAAACTTAGTGACCCATACTGATCTTGGCCAACTAATTTTCAAATCCCCACTTGTTTTTTGTTTGAATATTTCAGGGGTTAGCAATGGCGAAGCTGGAGAAACTTGTTTTAGCTGAAGATAGTTTACACGAGTTAAAAGAAGCAGAGAACAGCGAGCGGTTAGCCGAAGAAGCAGTCACATTTGTTCAAAAAAAGCTGCATCGACGCGAATCTGGGAATGTCAGTGTTCTTCTTTACCCTAATTTTGCGCACGTTGCTTTGATTTTCTTTCTTTAGTCTTTTTTTTTGTTGCGATTAAGATATGTAGTGAAAGATTTGAATGCTAAAATGAGCTGATATTGCTAAGGAATTATCTGTTTTCACATTTCCGAACTGAAAATATTTAAAGGAAATCATATAACTAACTCGATAGAAAACATGATTATCAGTTATTAGATTGAAGGAACTAAAGAAATTACAATTTGTTTAGACTAGTATTCAGCATTGTTCTTGTTACGGTTTTTAAGGTTAGAAGTTGTGTTGAGTTTTTCGGACATTCAACGAGGCATGATTTTTGTCACGAGTGAATTTATATAATTTTAGGGGCAAAAATAGATTATCGATAGAAATATAAGGAAAATAATTTAAGATTTTTAGGAGGAGGCGATCGCCCCTGACTGCCCCTCTCGTCCATCCCTGCCTTCAACAAGTTTGGTATTGACCCCTGAGCCGGATTTTTTTTCTCTCCCAACTCCACTCACAGAGAAGCCGGCAAAGTGTCCTTTGAATCCCGATAGGGTTGTGGAGTCGGGAGACAAACGCTCCACTCGGAGGATCAATGCCAGACTTGTTTAGTGTCCAAATTCCTGAAAAAGTGCATTGCATAGGAATAAAGGGGTAAAAAGTTTTGCTTTTGCTGACAGCTATTTTATTGAAAGGGTTATCTGTAATAGTCAAGTGTTAAGCTTGATTCGTTTTTTCTTTTTTCCATTTCAGGTTGATCAAATGCATAACTGCAATATTGAAGATTTACATGTTACAGGAGTTGATCTTTTGTCAAAAGTTCATAATCTTGAGAATAGATTTGTTCGTGCCTTTGTAGAATCTAAGATTTCTGAATTGCCTATTGCTGAGTTTGATGAACAGATTCAACTTTGTTTAGCTGAGTTAAAGCAGTTGTGTACTCTTTATTCAATTGCAAATCCCAAAGGAACTCATGGATATGATAGTTTGGAATTTTTGAGAAGTTCGGATTTGATTAGTCAAACACGACAGGGTCCTCCTTGTCTGGAAGAAAGTGATCTGGTAAAGGAGTTGTCAGCAAAACTAATCGAGATAGAGAAGCTTAAATCGGACAATTTGGTCAAGGATAATGAGCTCGAGGCTTTGCGGCGTCGGCAAAAGCAGCTAGAAGCTCATATTTGCTCTGTTGAGGAGCAGAAAAGCCAGTTGGAGGAAAATATGGAAATAATGCGGAGAGAAGTTGTTGTTATGGCTAAATTCTTGGATGATTTGCGGAGTGAAGTGTTGGAACTCGATAGCAATATGGATTCGAGGATTTCTGCTGAGAAAATTCTCGCAAAGAAATCTTCAAAACTCGAAGATGGAAAGCAGGAAATAGAAGTTTATTTATCTGAACTAGAAGAAGGAAATTTACTTTTATCAGAAGGATTATGTGCTTTAGAAGAAAAATTAATGTATCCAAATGATAAGAGTGAGTATTGTCATATGGAACTACAAATTCCAGAGTTTGATGCTATGAATTTCAAAGATGAGATAATAAGAAGACTGGGAGACGAAATGGAGGTGCAAAGGTTTGTTATGAGACAGAAGATCGAAGAGATGCAAAGGCAGTGGCTAGTAGTTCAAGAAGAGTGCGAGTATCTTAAAATCGAAAATCTTAAACTCGTTGAAGAATGTAGTATCCTGCACAAAGAAAATGATGATATAAGGAAACAAACGATGGAGTTAAACGTTTGGTGTACAGTCTTAGAAGTAGAATTGAGAGAATCAGAAAATCTCCGAAGAGAAAACCAGCTTTTGGAAGAAGAAATTTTGGCTCAATTGCAGAAAAAGGTACTCCTTCAGGATGAAATTTTGGCTCTTAAGGAAACAATGAGTGAAATCAAGTTCGAGAATGAAATACTGGAAACTTCTTTTGTGATGCTATCAAGAGACTATGAAGAACTCAAGGCTGAAATGATGTTAATTCTTCAGAAAATCTCCAGTAGTTGCAGGTGTGATAAAGTTTCTCTTGCAGATGCCTTGGAAAATCGGGAAACTTCGCTGAAAAATGAGCAATCCTGCATACAGGTTAATATTGCTACATGTTTTCCGGTTCTTGCTAGTTGATTGGAATCTTTAACATTAAGCAACCATTCATTGCTTAGGTTCGGTATGACAGATAAGTTATAGTTTCTCAAAAAAACACGTCTTTCTCTTTTGTATCAGGTCGATAATGATTGGAACTGCAATACGGAAAGTCAATTTATGGGAGTTGAGCTTGCAGAAGTTTTAGAGGTAGATGACTTGTATAAGACCCAGCTAAAGAGGTATAGTTCCATATTTTGTGTCTGATGAACTTGCCTTATCTGAATAACCTGATAGCAATCAATTACTATCTTAATCTATAACATATTACAATTAAGTTCTATAAATACAACAAAGTAACAACATAATATCTTAAATATGTTAATTTCCCAGTTAGCTTCTTATGGTGCTGCATCAGCAATAAATATAAGAAATGAGACAAAAGATGCTTTCAAAGGAGTTGGAATGGTGCTTTTGCCGCCTCGATCTTAACTAATATTTCCTTCATTTTTACTCTTTGTTGAATTTTGACATCCATATTATCATCATGTACTATAGCAGAGTATCTGAGTAATGTTGTCATGTACTCTTTATTCTGGAATTCCCTCTTGAAGCCGGAATTATCGGCAAGCGAAAAGAGTCTCGGTTGAGCTTTGTTTAATCTTAAAGCTTCTTCTTGTTTGCTTATGCTAGCTTGAAAATGGAAGGGGAATCGAATAAACAAATAAGCATTGTAGTTATATGTAACTGTTAAAGGGATTGAGCTGACAGCCTTAAATTGCTCGGTAAATGGTTGTGGATATGAATATTAACAATCTTTTTACCAAATTTTGCTTGTGTTCAGTTTTCAGTCAAACGATGTACGCACTCGTATAGATGTTCCTGCAAATTCGACAGGTGAAAGTGCCGGAACAAATGACAGATATGAATGCAAGGCTCCGATACTCGAGATCGAGATGAGTGCAATGTATCAAATATGTTGAGTTAGAAGCTGCCGATCCAAAGCGACTTGCCGTGTGGAAAGAACTAGGTCCCGGAATCCTGGCTGAAAAGTTCGGTTTATATCTATCACTGATGCTGCCGCAACACTTAGTGACATTCACCGTTCCCTACTCCGGTGGCGTGCTTGCTCGGGAAGAAAGTTGTAGATTTGTACGGTTTAAGGGAGGAGTAACCGATACAAAATGTAACAATGACAACTCTGTATTAATGTATTCATAATGGTTTCATTTTAAAAAAATTGAGGACGAATTTTTATTTTTAAAGAGAGAATTATGACGACTCGAAATTCAATTGAATAAATTAATCGTTTAATTGAAGTTTTTATCCCTGATTTGAATGTTACATATCACTCCTTTAAATGGTATGTAGTATTATTTTTATATGAGAAAATCGTCTCAGTGACCAAAAAAAAGTTATAATATACGATTTTAACCAACTTTTTTTGGATTTGCCAAAATGACCAACAAAATCGCAACGCGAAATAAAAATCGCAACGCGATCCCCAGAATCGCAAATCAGTTTCCAGAATCGCAAATCAGTTTCCAAAATCGCAACGCGATTCTTGAAAATCGCGATGCGATAGTACAAATTCGCATTGCGATTTTCCAAAATCGCAACGCGAATATGAAAATCGCAACGCGAACACATAAATCGCAACGCGTATCCGTAAATCGCAACGTGTATCCGTAAATCGCAACGCGTATGGGTAAATCGCAATGCGTATCCGTATATCGCAACGCGTATCCGTAAATCGCAACGATAATACATAAAATCGCAACGCGTATCCGTAAATCGCAACGCGATATTTAAAGCGCCATTATAATCGCTACGCGTATTTTATTTTCAAATTACAAAAAGAATATTAAGACAAAATCCCGTAATCGCAACTCATAACCTAAAACCTAAAATCACAACTCAGTCCCATCTCCATCTCTCACTCTCTACGGCGAAGAAATCCGTCCCCATCTCCGAAGATTTTCGTCCCCATCTCCGGCGAAATCCCTCACAACCATTCACGGTCAGAAATCCCTCACAATATTCAGAAATGGAAAATCAACCTCCGAGGGTTAGTTTTTTTAATTATTTTTATTTTGAAATGTTTGCATTATTGTAGGTTTTTCATATTGAAACTGATGATAAGTTTACTGGTCATTTCAATAATAGATTAACCATTTCACTTAGATTTCATTTCGCGTTACGATTCTCTCGTTGCGATTTTCATTTCGCGTTGCTATTCTCTCGTTGCGATTTTCAAGTTAGTATTTGTCTTTGTCTTTGTTCTGTCTTTTGGTTGAAGTAATGCAATCCATTCAAGTTTCAATTTGCAGAAGAGTCGCAACGAGATAAATGAAAATCGCAACGAGAGAATGACTGTCGCAACGAGAGAATCGCAACGCGAAATGGAAATCGCAACGAGAGAATCGCAACGCGAAACCAAAATCGCATTGCGATTTTCATTTCGCGTTGCGATTCTCTCGTTGCGATTTTCATTTCGCGTTGCGATTCTCTCGTTGCGATTGTCATCTCGCGTTGCGATTCTCTCGTTGCGATTTTCATTTCAACCAAAAGACAAAACAGTGTTGCAAATTTTAGTTTAAAGAATAAACTACTACTTTTTATGTTTATTGTTTTGGTATATCTTCACAGTGTAGTTTTTGGTATATCTAACTTGGTATGTTTATTGTTTTTGTAGAAATTTTTTTCGGCTCAATTGACCTTGAGAAATAAAGTCAGCCTGGCCACTACAATTGCAAAGAAGCTTTCACCTGCTCAAAGACAATTGTTTGAGGAAACCTGCTTCGGGCCATGGCTGAGAGTACAGCATCCGGGTGGAGATGCTAATTTGACCCATTTGTGGCTTCAGACCATGACATCAAATCTACCCGACAGTATACAACGTGGTGAGGAAGAGATATGGTTTCATTTTCCACCAGCGTATACTTGCTTTGGGCGGAAGGAGTTCTGCTTAATCACTGGTCTACGATTCGGACACGATGATGTAGGCCGGTACACTCGTCATATCGCCCGCCCATCATGGTTATCCCGGGTTTTTCCGGATGAGTCAATGGAGAAGCCGAACCTACATGTCGACGACCTGAAGAAATTATTTAATAAGAAAGCTGGTTTCACTCGGATGGAAGACGTCGATGTTGTCCGAGTATGCCTTCTACTACTTGTGTATGCCGGCTTTTTAGGCAGAGAGGCCAGACAACCTATTCATCGGGAGCTAATAATATTGGTAGAGGACCTGAATGCATGGAATCTGTTTCCGTGGGGTTCGTATATATGGAAAGCTACCTGGACTAAGTTGTCGTCTGCCTTTGATGACCGCAAAAGTTTGCGGGGCGATGGGTCCAAATACACTTTGTCAGGCTTTGTTTGGGCCTTTAAGGTAAGAATTTCTATATAATGTTTCTAAAATTATAATTAATTATTTAACAATTACTAATTTTGTTATTATATTGTTTGTAGATTTGGATATTCGAGGCTTTCCCCAGCATGCGTACATATGCAATAAAAACGTCAAATGATATTCCCAGGGCTATTTCCTGGAAGAGGAAAACTCTGTTGGATTGGGAAGACTTAATACCATATGCCACAATAAATAATGTAAGTTAACACAAATACTTTCATATAATATATAAACAAGTTATTAATAGTAGACGTTTAACTTTGTTTGAGTTTTTATATTTTAGGAGGCCAACATTCCATTACAAAGACTGACACCCACGGAGGAAGAGCTTGCCACTGATTGGTGGCAAGCTAGTCAGAATTTTTTTGATGGCACGGATGATGAGCAGCATCCACTTCCTCCAATTCGAGAGCCATCACCTCACCTAGAGCCATCACCCGATCGACCCGACTATACATCTCTAGAACGAGAGCCATCACCTATCCCGTCACATCATCGAGCCTCTTCTCCACCATCACCTCATGATAGGCGACCGGCAAAGATGCCACGACTCCTATCTCCCTGTTCTCCACCTCCACCTCAACGGGATGAGTCAAGGGAGTTACGTGATGAGGTCAATGCCTTGCGTGAGGAGATCGGTACTCTACGCGATAACGATGGTGCATGGCGTGTGGAGGTGTCAACTTTACGTGGTGAGGTTGCCGCTCTACGTGAGATGATAGTATCGTTGCAGAATGAGGTTCATACTCTACGCAACGAGGTAAGTTTAAGATTTTCCATATTTAACTTAATGATAAATTTACTCGTAATTTCACTTAGATTAGCCATTTCACTTAGATTGCTTAGTAAATTTGTTCGGTTGCTGCCAATTCTGCTAAACTGTGTATTCTTTAACACTGTGAAATAGTATTTGTCTTTGTTTTGTCTTTTGGTTGAAAGTAAATTTGTTCGGTTGCTGCCAATTCTGCTAAACTGTGTATTCTTTAACACTGTGAAATATATTTGTCTTTGTTTTGTCTTTGGTTGAAAGTAAATTTGTTCGGTTGCTGCCAATTCTGCTAAACTGTGTATTCTTTAACACTGTGAAATATATTTGTCTTTGTTTTGTCTTTTGGTTGAAAGTAAATTTGTTCGGTTGCTGCCAATTCTGCTAAACTGTGTATTCTTTAACACTGTGAAATAGTATTTGTCTTTGTTTTGTCTTTTGGTTGAAAGTAAATTTGTTCGGTTGCTGCCAATTCTGCTAAACTGTGTATTCTTTAACACTGTGAAATAGTATTTGTCTTTGTTTTGTCTTTTGGTTGAAAGTAAATTTATCCATTCAAGTTTCAATTTGCAGAAGAAGAAATAGTTTACTTTCGCAACACGAAACTTAAAATCGCAACGCGAAACCAAAATCGCAACGCGAAATGAAAATCGCAACGACAGAATCGCAACGCGAAACCAAAATCGCAACGACAAGATCGCAACGCGAAACCAAAATCGCATTGCGATTTTCATTTCGCGTTGCGATTCTTTCGTTGCGATTTTCTTTTCGCATTGCGATTCTGTCGTTGCGATTTTCATTTCGCGTTGCGATTTTGGTTTCGCGTTGCGATTTTAAGTTTCGTGTTGCGAAAGTAAACTATTTCTTCTTCTGCAAATTGAAACTTGAATGGATTGCATTACTTCAACCAATAGACAAATCAAAGACAAATACTAACTTCAGGGTATTAGTTTGAAACATATTTTTCTTTGTTATCTGATGCATTTTGTGAACTATGATAGAATAATGACTTGGGTGAATACAATGCAAGTTTGAAACATATTTGTCTTTGTTTTCACTGTTTAAATATCATGTCTGTTTATTTACTGATTTTTGTATTTAATTATTTAGCGGCCCGATAGAGTGGATGCTTTACGTCGGGTTATGCTTGCACGACGGAGTTCACGCATCAGACAGCGTGCACGTGCTATTAAGTCTCCGTACACCCCAATAGTGCGAAGACACCGCAAGAAGAAGCCCGACTCGCCTGTCATCCCTCAAGAGTCCACTCCTATCGTTGAAGAGGCCCCCCATATCATTCCTCGAGAGTCCCCTCCCACCGTTCAAGAGGCAACTGTCATCGTTGAAGAGGTCCCTCCCACCATTCCAGAGCCCGATTCACATGGGGTAATATATCGAAGTATTGAGAAACCCCCACCGGTTCCGGACATGATGGATGAGAGTTGGCTCTCGTATGAGTTACCGGCCAGTACCATACCGGTATCTGAAGAGGAGAGGGAACAACTACCGGACACAATTTGGATAACACCCTTTGGGCTAAGACCGCAGTTGATTTTTATCTACATGAGCGGAGCAAGGGGTGTTTCACTGACATATGCAAGCTCACCGATGATATCTTTTTGTTGCTTGAACGGCCTTGGTGGGGCGTATTATTAGGGGTCGAAGACAATGGCTATTTCGATGGGGGGGTAAGTCTTATATTTTTCTTATATTTCAATTTGATTAATTTTTTTTTAAATTTATGTAAGTCACTAATATATGTCTTTTTTTGTAAAACAGCATATCGATGCGTGGGTGACACGTCTTCTAATAATAAGAAAACTTAAGAAAAATAAAAATATACGATATACAATAATGCCGACGTCTTTTCACGCCGTTCACTTGAAGAATGCACGAGATGAATCATTTGATTTGGGCAATGGACAAGCTAAACTTTATCCTGCATGGTGGGAGATCGATAAGGTTAGTATTTATTTTAGATTGA